TTGATGGTGCTGTCTTGGGAGAGACCGCCTATATCCCACAAGTCAACTTTAGTGCTCTATAGAGGGAGGGGTGAACAAAAACAGGGACCCTTCCAGCACAAAATTGTTTCAGTTTCTTCAAGCTTGGATTTTTGACAATGGCGATGGATGGGGGTTATTTAATACATGCTTGACGTGACTCCGTCTCATTTCTGATGACTGTTAAAACACGTTGGGCTTTAGGAAAGTTCAAAGGGTTTTCTATATCTCTATCAGCGAAATGCTTGATAGAGAGGGGGTACTTTAAGTCCTTTATTCGGTTGCAGTAATCCCTTGCTTATTCGCCTGGGCTGGGGAAAGACGGCATAGGTCCCTCCCCTGTGTTATAAATGTGCTTTTGTTTTTTCTGTTTATCTTTTATGTCCTGAGTAGGACTCCTTTGTCTTTTGTTGGGAGGAGGGGACATTTTGAAATCTTTAATGGGGGAAGGACTGGGAGTTTGAAAGGTATGTAGTTTTGTATGAAAGGGCTGGGGTCTCTACTAATAGGGGTTGACAGATGGGATGAATGTGACTGGTTAGAAGACGTGGAGGGAATGATGGACCTTTTTAAAGGGAGATGACAATTCTTGGCTTCTACTAAGAGGGGTTGAGGGATGGGAAGGATGTAATGGGGCAGAGGGTGTGGAGGGAGTTGCCTTCTTGGCAAAGGAGGTCTTGTGGTGTAGAGGGATGGGAGGAATGTGAGGAATGTGGGTCAGAGGGTGTGGAGGGGGTTGCCTTTTTAGTCAGGGAGGTCATTTGTTGGCGTTGTTTGTCTAGCTTTTCTTTTAATTTTTTTATTTTCTCAGTTTTTTTCAAACGCAGGGTCATATTTTTTTGGTAGATCTCTTCGAGTATTTTGAGAGACTGGGGCGTCATCTTTAATGTTGACAGAGGGAGTGGAACTGTCAGTGCCTTTCATCCCAGAGATTTCAAGGGACTGAGGACCCACTGTCTGGTGCTTCCCCTTGGCCCTGCCATTCCCTCTCTCCCTTCTCCACGACTGCAATTGCAGCGGGTAAAAGCTCTTCAGGGAATGGGGGCTTAGATGTAGGCCCAACTGGGGGTTTAACCGCTCAGGTCCCAGAAGCTGGCATGCCCATTACAGGTGTGGCGGTATTCAAAGATTTGGTCAGAGGGGAGTTTGGTCAACTGGGGCCTGACTTCCAGAGGCCTTCTTCTCTGGGCAGGAAGAGGAGAGGTGAGCAGTCTCTCTGCACTTCCAACACAATGACCGGCAGCTTCAAGCTCCCAACATCCAGACAGTTGGAGATAGAGAGGAAGGCTTTTCGGTCTAACATGATGTCAAAACTCCATCCCCCGGAGAAGCTATCACAGGAAGCACCTAATATTTCTCCATATTGCGACAAAAGGCCGCCAGGTGTTCCCCGATAACCTTAAGGAGGGACCTCATATGTTGCTACTTAGTCCTTTGCTTGCCTTCATATTCTGTTTGTAGAATGATGTCTTTTGTAATAATTTCTCTGGTGGGAATTTTAATCTTCTGGTGTGGGTAGCAATATCTCCCACATGAAAAAACCCGAGCCCTTAACAATTCTTAATGGCTTAAACCCCTGGGACTCGAGTGTTTTTACCATTGTCTTTTGTCGAACGACAAATTTTGCGCGTATGCTTATTGACGACATAGACTGACACTATTCTTTTTTCGATTTTCTTAAGTACTTTGGGGTTCTTCAAAAGCCCACCTTCAATGATAAAGTGTGCATAACTCTTGGCACACTCCAAGAACTCCGCAATATTGATGATGCACTTCAGGGGGGACTTCCAACGACTGGGTGATTCCCCGGCCTCTGCATTATTTTTGGTCTTATTGTCTTTTTGGCCTATATTGGCCTCCATATTTTTGGATACTGATGTTTGACCATTATTGGCCTCCATATTTTGGGTTTTGTCATGGCCACCAAAGGCCTCCTCATTAACGGGAGCTAATGCTGGGTATTCATCCAAATTGTCTTTATCTGGGGGGTCTTTTTTGATTAAAAAAAGATGTTTCTTGACTGACTTTCTAAGGTCGGCCACTTTCGGTTTCTTTTTTATAATTAGATATGAGGGGACTTTTTTTTTAAATCCATTTTCAAAAGGAAAGGGAGGGGTGATGAACAGAAAAAATGGTGACGTTTTGCCTATAGGTGGAAAAAAATTTAAAAAAATTGAAAAACAGACAAATCAACTTAACCCAACCAAGGTTCACGAGACAATAATGTACAAAAATACAGACGAGAAAAAATTAAATATTACAAAAAGGTAAAATTAAATAAACAAAGTTCGCTTATCAGCAAGACAACAAAATTAATAACAATACAAACGAAAAACCAAAGGTCGACAAATGTGAAAAATTAAAACAATATAAACAAGGTTCGCCTGTAAGCAAGACTACAAATTTAAAATATGACAAACACAAAACAGGACATACAAATAGTTTAAACAGACGAACAAAGAAACAAGGTTTGCCTAAAGATGAAACAAATTTAAACAGACAAAAAGAAAACGCAAAACAAATGGATGTATAACAGACGAGAACAAGTGGACAAGGTTTGCCTAAAGGCGAAACAACAAATTTAAAACAGTCGCAAAAACGAAGAATGTACAAAAGATTGAAAAGACAACAGACAAGAAAGCAACACTCTACACAATAAAATGAAGAGTTATAAACAGAAAAGTAAGAAAACAAAACGATAAATGTAACAATTTACAATATGGCTGCTGATAAAAAAAAAACAAAAAAAAAAACGGTCAACCCTAAAACAAAATGATAAACAAGGAAAGAAAAAAAAAATGGACAGAATATACAAAATAAACACAAAATTTACAAACAAATATATTACAGAAGAAATTAACAGATAAAACACAGAACTTTACGGATATTTAAAAGAAAGAACACAGAACAAAGTAACATGTAATAATAAACAAAGAAAAATAAAGTTGAATGAAACCATGTAGAAAGAAAAATAAACAGATAAACTCTGGGAAGAGGGTACGGGAAGAAAATAAATTTAAAAAAGGAAAATAAACTATAAGAGAAAATCAAAAATTGAATAATAAAAGAATAATATCAAAATAAAATAAAAATGGGGAGGGTAAGGAATTGAAAAGGAAAAAAATCAAAACATTACAAAACAGTCAAAACGAACATAAGGAAAATGGTAAAAATAAATCAAAACTTAACAGAATAACAGCAGTAAATGGTTCAAAGGATTCTCAGAGTGAGAGAATAAAGGTCTAACAAAGTCAGATGTGGACTGAGTCATGTCAAAAAGCAAGTTGTCCCATTTTATTGGCTAAGAAAAATATCCCAGCATGCATTTTGTGTCCTGACTTTTGCAATCATTCCTAAGGAAATCAACCCTGTCTATCTTGCATATCCTCTTAAGAGGCACCCCTGAGTTCCTCCTTGTATGCCTTTACAGTAAACTTCATGTTTACCTTGAGTGGCTCTTGAGATTTGTATGGGGGGGAGAAAATCCAAATTTAAACGTGTCTTAAGAATTTGATACACAATGGGATAATGGATAGCAGGACACTCATGCACAAATATCCTGGGGAAAGGTATGAATCCATGTCTTCTCCTCCTCTCAACTGTGGGTAAACACAGGAAAGACTGGGCTCTATAGTCTTGATTGGCAACCAGTCTAGGAAAAGGAAAATCAGGCTCTCTTGCCCAAGACACACCCACTGCTGCCATAGCTGCAGTACATGTGGTCCCCCTATCGTCAAAAAAATCTGACCTTCAAATTTCATTGTTCCTCGAAATTTATTCGCAGTACATAGCTGGAGTTTTGAAGCAAAGAAATTGCCTTATTCTGACTAACATCAAATGCTACAAAAATCACAAAACTCGATGCCTTGGTATGAAGTAAAAAGATCAGTCCTTACTGCTTTTAATATAAGATTCTACTGGCTATAAAGAGAAGGATCGGTTTACTGTTGTTATTAAGTAATAAACAGATCCCCCACTTAAATTACTACATATTAATGTAGGCACTTGCAAATATTCACTAAAAATGACTATACATGATGAAAAAATGTCCCAAACTTAATAAAAACTGTTTTATCATCAAAATACTTATTAATAGGAATCTGTTAATCTTCAAATAAAGTTTCAGAAAAGTATATTTTATTTTTGGAAGATTTTTAATAAAGAGAATTACATTCTGATGACAGATGGCTAAAAATGGTGCTAAAATCAGTGATTTCAAAACAAAACCTTTCAGGCAAATTTAGTTTTGAAATGCAGCAAACTATTTTGCTTATTGAAAATATTAATTTAATCTAAAAGCTTCAAGAAAAATTTTTCAATTTTTAAAAATTTATTTTAAACCTTAGGTATCGCTTTTCCTTGGAGGCACTTATATTAATGTAAAAATGGGAAAAACATATTTAAAAAAATCACATGTGAAAAACCTTCTGCTAATAGTTCAGTCAGTTAAATGCCATACATGATACATGCTTGGGCAATCATGTATCTTTTGATACCTGACTGATGAGGCAGATTTTTTCCCACAGTAGGTTGCCATTTCTTTCTGCGGTATCCTGGTTGACAACCAAGGCTAAAGAACTCAGTCTGTCCTGCTATTCAACCCATAGATAGGGGGAGAAGAGAAGACTAGTATTAATATATAAGATTTTAAAGCACATAAAGAGGGTGATCGATTTTCTATTATTAATAAACTGATCACTTACTACATTATTATAATAACTGATGTTTAAAGACGTGCATGTATATAGAAACCTAATAATACTAACGATTTAACAAAATATAAAATCATCTTTTTATTTCAGGGTCAGTCTGGTTTCTATATAATCATGAAATCATTCATATTTAATTTACTTGTTAATATCTCATTATTGTTTGATTGTAATAAATTAGATGATGATCAAAAATTTTCTCCTTAGTTCATTAAGGCCACACCCAATTTAGGATCCACCCCATTCTTAAATAAATGAATTAGATTGTCTCACCAAAAGGCCTTCATTTGCTGCTCTGATTGAGTACCATCCAGCAATCCCGAAATGATTAGAACCTACAAACGAAAAGTATTGTTCGCATTAATTTCTTGTCTAATTCTAGAAATGAAACTGTCAAACACAAGCGATGCAAAGAAAACTTTCAAATGATCCGAAAAATATACATTTTCTTTTTTCATCTTCTTCTATGGGGCCATGTCCTTTCAGGGTGCAGTGATTATTGGCTCTCCACAACCCTTGGCAATGTTTGTCTCTTTGTCAAGCTTCTCACATTTGACTATTCAATCACACAGCCTCATCAGCTGCCTTCCTCTCTTCATTTTGCCTTCAATATGTCCTGTGAGCTTTTCATCTTAGGTTGATGGAAAAATTAACTAGCATTAGGAAAATATTTTATTTCCATATAAATTGATTGCGTTATTTAGTCATCAAAACATTTTTTCAGACATTTCTTTGCATTATGTCACCTTTCCATAAAAAAAAAACGTGTGTGTGTGCGTGTGTGCACTCTATTTATTAAAAGCCCATCATTGGTGAGAAGTAAGAATTCTTTCTTTTTTTTTAAGAAATTGTTTGTTTTCAGAATAAGTCTAATAAAATTATGATTAAAAGTTTTGCCTCATTCCCCCGCCACCAAATAAACCAGTCATTTTAAACTAACGTCCTATCAATAATAGAATGGCATTAAACTCAAATCCTGTAAAAAGGCAACTAAAGTAAGAATGGCAAAAGAAGGTGCACAATTTATAAGGATAGTTAAAATATACATTGATTCATTCAAAGGAGATTTTTGCTTCCTTTCATACACTGAATTACTTTACACAAGGAATTTGAAACCAGAAAAAATAAAATTACCTTAGATTAAAATAGCCAGGTGGAAAATGTTTAAGAATATTTACCTGTAGCACAGACCCAGCCAACTCCAGTTTGCTTGGCTTTTTTTATAGCGAGATCTATACAGAATTTGCCAACAACAGGACCTGTGGGAAAAGCAAGAAAAATTTTTTTATTAATGTCAAGTCTATTGACACAGTTGATGACCATGACTCTTCACATCTTTCTCTTCTTTATTATCTTTGAAGAGTGCTATGGCTTCTTGCAAAAGAGAGTGGAAAGTACAATACAATGGCCAAAATGTTTTGGGCATAAATAACTAAGACAAGCATACTGGTTCAAATAGCAAATCATATAAGTTTCAAATTAATTAGATTAATAAAAAAAAAAAATTAAAAAAATGTGCTTGTCACATTTGTTAGTTTGCACGACCATTGTGCCCTGCCAATATTTCATAAATAAAACCATTCTATTTTAATTGCATGGAAAGAGGGCAAAAGATACTACTTTTGGTCTCAGTGAGAAATGAAAGAAAAGAGAAAGAAAAAAAATCAGATTGAACTAGTAAGAACAGATACTACACTTTGATCATAGTACAATTCCTTCTCAGCCTTCTGGCTTTCTTGCAGTCCCCACACTGATAGGATGTTGATACATAGTTTAAGTTGGGAAGCCCAAGAGCCTGCACCCAAGTCAAGTTCACAAATAGCCTAGTCCCATGAAACAGTTGCTTTGTGTTGGCATGGGTATTACTACCAATCATTAGTGCAGTGAGAGAATTACTGCTGTGGGTAGCTGTTTTGTCAAGATTGGGTACTTCTCAATATTTTCAGTTGCACTCAGTCCACAAACAGACAGACAATCAAGAGATGAAATGTAGTTTATCCACCTGCAAACAAATACTAGACTGATCCCAGCCAAAAGGGTGAGAAGCAATGGCAACCAATAAAATCACCAATTTTTTTATACACATAGTATTGAATGAGAGAAGTGAAATAAAGCAATCTCAAAAACTTGATATTTTAAAATGTTTTCATTTCAAAAATTCTTCTTTTGTCCATCTATTTTTCATAAAAAAATAAATAAAACAGTTAAATTACATCAATTGTAAAAAAAATAAAAGTTGTGGACATACATTATTTGATTTGTGCCAGGATATACTAGAGGCCTGAATTAAATTTAATGTCAATGAGAAATCTTTATTCTAGTGGATTTGATCCGAGTTGACTCCAGCTCACTCTTAGGGATACCAACACTTAGTAACACACCAAGGCATCAAAAGGGACAGTTTTATCAGAAGGTTGATGTGGAAGGTAACCTCATAACAACCAGATACAGAATCGGACCTTAAAATATATTAGTGTCCACTACCACATATAAACAAGGGTTTAGCACTGCCAAGCTAAAGATGGACAAGTGGATAACAAGTAGTTATAGAAAAGCCCCACCTGAGAGGGGAAAATCCAGAGTCTCTTAAATTCTTGTTAGATCAGCATTTGAAGAAATCCTCCAAAACCACACACCTTCACACCAACATTAACTGACAAAGTCCAGAAGTGAATAAGAAATAATTTTACATATAAAAGATTTAGTCTTGTATATTTAATACCATATTTTTATGCATAATACAAGAAAATTTGAACAAAACTTAAAGGCAAAAAAGCAGAATTGTATTATACGCATTTTCAGAAAGTTTTACTCAGCTTAAAAACTTCTTATGAAACAGCAATTACAAATACTCCCAGCACAAAGCAGGCAGGTGTTGGTAATTGTTTACAAAAGGTATTTGATATGTCAGCAATACTTATTCTTTGGGAAACCATCTCAAAGATGGCAATTCATTGAAATTCAGTAAAAAAAAAACCAAAAACGAATATACAGAATACAATCATGTTTTGATAACTATTGTACAAATTATGTACTTTTTTTAGTTTTTTTCCATTTGAAAAATGGGCTAATTATTTACCTGACCTCCCCACTAAGGCAGGATGTGACTTTTTTTTAACATGGTGTGCCCATACACATGGATATATATACAGGCCAAGGAGAAAAATTGTCTAGACTGCATAACCACTGTCATGCTAGTATCGATATTATACTAACCCAACCTCTCTTATTGCAATGAGCAAGGTATTGCCACAGAGTTGAAATCTCCGGGAACTGGGTGACTTCTCCCATCTAAAATAAGGAGAGAATATATATTATGCATTCTTCCCTTCCAAAAGGCTTGAAAAATGGGGTGATAATTCCCATGCTGTGAAGTTGTTTCATATTTCTGTGATTGCTGGCACAAAATATCCACTTTGAAAACTTCAAATGATTTGAAAAAATAAAATACAAAATAGATACATTTAAAAAAAAAAAAAACAGAACATAATTATATTGCTATATAAATAGTGTACACTAGTACTTATAATCTTGAAATGCAAAATATTACAATAATTTGTGTATACAAAATTGAGATTTTAATGGATGATATGGTACAACTTTTCAAAAGAAATTTATGAAGAGATGGCTGTATTATGAGTTCATATTATACTCAAGGATATAATCTTATTTAATACTATGGGGGTAGATTATATTCATCCTGCTGTTCATGTTTTGGCATATTTCATCTTGTTCTCTTTTTAATACTGCTCAGTTATTGCTCGCCCTGTTTCCACAGTCCAAGTACACACTGTCACCAAAATTGCAAGCCATTGCTTTAATCTTCTAAACTATTTTCCTGTGGTACAGACTCTCCGTGGAAACGGCAAAGACTAAGACAAGATACCCCTAGACATGGACAGCAAAATGATAACAATCTATCTCCATAGATTTAATAAAGGGTTTAGTTCAAAATTCCCTGAAAGTAACTTGGCTCAACAGAAACCTGAGGAAGGGTGGAGTGTACAATAGCCGAAACTAATAACAATAATGAGGATATTAATCCAAATGTAAATAATAAAAATAATGAAACCTCTTCATCCCAGAAATTCAGACAGAAATGTTTTATATTTGAGAAAAATTAAAATTTTAAATTGGGAAGTGGCTCTAAAATGAGGGATCAGCCTACAATGAAAGTATAATACTAAACTTCACCCTTATTTTATGTCCAACTATGCAAGTACCGTCGTTAATTTTTTTCTTAGATTTTGAGTTGTTTTCAGTCTTGTTATAATTGTTCTGTGGGCTATTATGTTTTGATCGCATGGAAAGAGGGGAAAAGACACAACTTGGTTTCAATGAGAAAAAGAAAGAAATGCTTAACGTCTCCTGCCAGTACCTCATGAATAATAGATGATTATATTTTGATCACATGGAAAGAGGGGAAAAGACACTACTTGGTTTCACTGAAAGAAAGAAGAGACAATTTGCATTTTTCACAATTAGTTTACATTTAAAGAAAAAACTTATTCAGAATCTATATTTTTAATCTGATAATCTCAAAATAATGGTAGCATTTTCAGCTGTTAGGATAATATTCTTTTGTTATTAATCTATTATAATTGTGCTTGTCACTCCATTTGTTAGTTCACACGATTGTATTTTCTTTCCACCCAATGCTGGCAAGTTGTAAAGGAAGGTCAGTTTAATTATACTCAAAAAACAGAAAAAAAAAAAAAAAATGAACAAAAATATATGAACGAGTAAATATGAAAACAAAAAAATATGAAAAATGAAATACACAACACATAGGAACCCTTGCAACTAAAAAAAATTTTTGCTTTACGTTGTCAACAATCCAATTTTCATCACATTTTTCATTTTTGTCCATTTTAATATAAACTCCTTTAAAATTCACAATCCACACATTAATATAGAAAGATGAATTGAAAAGCCACTTTTCAGAATATTTCATAAATTTTGGTCATATATAAAATAAAATCATATTTCTAAATGTCATCTACTGAAAAACACGAATTTTTGTTCCAATCAAATATGATGACATTTCTGAGAAGAGAAACATGAACATTAATTTTTTCTTTTCATTCCTAAACTTATACTGAAGATAAAATATCCACATTTTTTTTTAATGTCTGTTGCAAACATATCAAATACTTTAGGATTAGGAACAAAAGGCTAGGTTGGTTAATTTAACAACATATCAACTCTTGTTGGGTTATTTCACGTTAAATATCTCATAAGACAAAAATCACAATCAATTAATATTAGGTTTTGTTACAGTTTTTCTCTTTTTCTGATGTTCCGCAAATGATCTTGAAGAAGAATCTTTTGTAGTAATTTTTTGTTTTTCTTCTTAGTAACTCTGGTGTTCCCATGAAACTGTTTGTCTAACATTATTGACATTTTATTCCTGATTTGGCGGCTTGGCTTCAGTCACTTTCCTACCACCATAAGGTTTCCTTCTTGTGTGTTTTCTATAAATACTTTCATGGTAATTGTTCAAATGAGCTCTTCCCTATAGTACCTAGAATTTTTGAATTTAAATGCAGTACTAGACTAGGCTCGAGATCTCATCAACTTACAGTAGACCTGGCTAAATGTAACTGTAAATTCTATGTTAACTGTTTCTTTTCTCACACTTCTCATTTGTGGAACTCCCTTCCGGCTTCATGCTTTCCAGCCAACTTAATCTCCAAAAATTTAAATGCAATGACGATTCCTATCAACGGTTTACTCTTCTATTGTTCTCACTCCATGGTAATGTTTCAATTTCTAATTCTTCTTCATCCAGTAGCCCCTTGCATCATAGTGGTTTTACTGCTTTGCGTGGGGTGAAATCAATCAAAAAAGATAAGTTTAGACAATTGTTTAAGATGGAATGCCAAGTAGACATGAATGAGTATGTTTGACATCTTCTTCTCTTTGCTTTTAATCAAGGTTACAAAGCTGCTCAAGCTGTGTATGGAGATGTCTTTATTGTGCTGGAGAATTACCTCGAAGGTCCAACAGGGCTAGAGTAACATAGCTAAATGTGCATATAGAACGAGCAAATTGCTAGCAAGGCAAACCATCCAAGCATCAGCACTGGAATGATGAGGTGCATGCATTGTTGAGTCAGATCGAGGCTGGCAGTTTCCTCAATGTGCAAATTCTCTGGCTTGGCAAGAACGTAAAAAAAAGGCGAGTATTTGTTGAGATGGGAAAAGGCTTTTGCGCTCAACGCAGGTCATGTTGGTGCCTACTGAACCAGAATCTCCAG